CGAGGACCACGCCTTGGGCATCTTTCTGTGTCCTGCGACCTCGCCTTGGTTAGGTCGTACAGGGCTTTGCAGGGTGGTGGCAGCTCAGTATGTTTGTCGAATTTTAAACTGAATCCTACAATAACTGATTTCCCGGAACCACAGTTGTCAGGAGAACCAACAAATTCAAGTCACTGCAATGTGCCTTTTCTTTGAAGTCTCCTAGCAAAACATGTGGGCAGTTAATAGCTATGGAAATAATACCAAATAAAACTAGGGCAGCACCTTCTCTCTTGATAGAGGACCAATGCCTCTTACTTGAAGCCTAGCCTTCAGGTTGTCAACAATTAACTGGAGGTAACTCTTCTGATTATCTGTGAGGCTAAGAAACGATGAACAAATGTCTCACTGCCCATCTGAGCTCCTGCTTCTTTTGAAACATTTTCAGTGAATTGTTTTCATAAAGGGTATAGAAGCAAATCATTGTTGGTATCACAACTGGCCAAAATGTGCTCCCACATTTTCTTCTCCAAAATATGATGTACTCAGGGGTGCTGAGTTAGATTATGCATTATTTCAGGCCAGACATCTGTTACAAATGGTGAGAGTCTACATATTCATTACTGGAATGGATCAATGTTTTCAAAAGTTTAAGTAATATTAATGTAGAACAAATGACATCATAAAATGTGCTTTGTGGCCTTTTCTGATACTTGCACTACCTATTTGCAAAATTTTCAACTTATTTCTTGTTTTACTAAGTGTTGGCCTCCCTTACAAACCAGGCCTGATTTCTTCTTCAGCTGCAAATGTAATTTTAAAGAGAACTCCAACAAGATTACTTGCTGAACACGTTAAACATTCATAGCTTTGCCATATGCTGTTATGGAAATTACACTGATTTAAAGCAATCTGGGTGTCACTAGGTAGTACTGATTCACCTGATACCAAATCTAACCATGGTGAGAAATAATGTTTTAAAGGTGTCATTTGCATCTAGACCTCTATTGAACTAAGAGGCACATACTGGGTTTATTTTTGGAGACAATGGATTTTCATATTAAAAATATGGTTCTACATCTGGTGATTTCTAGAAAAATTAAGGTTATAGGAGGCCCAAATTTACACTATGATAGCTTAGCAGTCAAGGATATAGATTCCTGAAGCCAGGCAGATCTCAGTCTTAATCCTGGCTCAACCATTTAATAGTTCTATAACCTTCAATGGTAAGAGAGGGCAAATAATGGTGCCGACCTGCCGGGTTTGCTGCAAGGATTAAATGAGCTAATGCATGTAAAGCATGTGACAGCTCTGAACAGAGCACCTTCATGCGGTTGGCTCAACAATGAGTCAGTAGTATTATGGGCTATGGCCGCCTAACCTTTCTACTTCTGTTGGAAGGTTAGTAGCATCCCATATTAAGTGGTGGAGAAATGCCTGAGTATATGGGGTCTGATGGGGATGTCGGAAGATGATTTAGTGAAATTAGGATCTGCTATACAAGACAATAAGGTCACTGATATAGTCAATAAAAAAAAAAATCAAAGGGAAAAAGGCACAGTCGCAGGACACCCTTTGCACAGTTACAGCATCAATAATGTGGCATAACTGTGTTGTTTTTATTTGGGATGGGGAAAGTGGAGAGCTCATTTTAAGCATGCTAGGGAAAGACTTATGGAAATGAACACTGTCTTTAGATCCACTGAGCATTCTATCCAATTACATTCAGAGGACAGAAGAAGCTTCTTAGAAATAATTACATTTGGCTGTAATAAGTGAATATGTATGGTGTAATGAATATTCATACATATTGAAGTCTGTGAGAATATAAAAAAGATAGAAGAACCTTTAATTTTTGTTTGTTTGTTTGTTTGTTTCCCTAAATTGACTTGGGCATGTACATTTGAAAATAGATGGATTCTCTCTAGGTCAGTGTTCTGAATGGGGGGACGGTTTTGCTCTGTAGGGGGTGTTTGGCAAGTGTCTAGAGACATGTTTTGATGCCACAACTTGCGATGGAGGACGCCACTGGCATCTGGTGAGTAGAACCTCGGGCTACTGCTGAATGTTCTATAATGTGTAAGGTAGCCTTCACAACAAAGAATTATCTGGTCCAAATGTTAATCCCAAGGCTGAGAAACGCTGCTCTAAGCTAGTAACTGTTCAGGGCCTAACAGGTTTAAAATCACCCACACCCCAGGTGGATCTTGGGGAGACTCTAGAGGATGGTAGGCTTTTTTGTCAATATGGTCAACTTTCCAGTCTCCTGTGTTGATTCCACACTAATGAACCATAAGCTGAAGTCATTGTATGGAGTTCATATCCTCAGGAAAAGAATGATTATAAACACCAAGATTAGAGTTCACAAAGTACTATGTGTTACTTGACCTTCTGGAGACTTCACAGAGGAGGGCTACCACCTATGCGGAGCCTCTGACCGACCAAGAGACCAAGGGTCTTCTGGCATATGATTTCTTAAACAACATCAATACCAAGAGACAAACAACATGTTAAGCAACAATGGCATAAAATTAAAGATAATTCCAAGTAAAAAGTTATAAGTACAATCTCTGGGAATTTTATTTTCTAGACCCCCGAAACTGAAAAATTAAGAAGTATCTTTTCTTTTACGTGAACCCTGCAGGGGCAGCTTAGAAGGCTGTAGCCACAAACATGGATAATGCTCAAAGACTGAAAATGTATATAAAGGACATTACTTTGAAGCCTCTGACTCTGTACTTGGTGTCATCAGAGCGCTGAAGAGACTCTCTGTGAACGCCGTATTTAGAATATCTCCCATCAATTCTTTCAGAAAAACTGCGGGAATCCTGAAAAAAACAACAATGTCAACCAGCAGATGAAAGGAAAGTCAGTATTTGAAATAAGAAAAAGAAAGTATTGATAGATGTTTAGAAAGATCTGGGGGAAACAGAGGTCACGCCAAGGAGAAAGAAGGAAAGGGTTGCTTTGGATGCTACCTTAAAAATAAAAACAGGGTCCCACTTTGGTTATGTGTATTCTTTTCACAACTAGTCCTTTGTCAGTCTGAAATGACTGACACTTTTAGTTGAAGGGAACAAGGTTCCAGTAAAAGTGAGTTGTCTAAAGATGGTCATTAATGACACCATGTCACTTTTGAATGCTGCATTCTCTCTCTTGGAGTAGTACCTGACATCAGAATATTCTGTGTTAAAAAAAAAAAAAATGTTACTGGGGTGCCTGGGTGGCTCAGTTGGTAAAGCAACTAACTCTTGGTTTCAGATCAGGTCATGATCTTATGGTCATGGGATTGAGCCCCGTGTGGGGCAGACTCTGTGCTCGGTGTGGAGTCTGCTCTAGATTCTCTCTCCCTCCCTCTTTCTCTGCCCATCCCCCTCCCCCAACACATGCATGCTCTCTCTCCCTCAAATAAATAAATAAAATCTTTAAAAAAATGTTACCTTTAAAACTAGAGTCCTCTTTCATCATTAATTCTTAAACATTCTACCCTGTTAACCAATATATCACATAGATTTTTAAATTGAAGGATACTTCATCTGCTCTCAAAAGCATAGAGATTCAGGTAGTAAAGAAATTAAGAAAGAAAAATGTCAGAGTCATTCATTCATTCATTCATTCTTCTCTTCCCTTTCTCTCCTCCCCTTCTTCCCTTCCTCCATTGTTTGGAGAGAGGATGGAACATAGTGGTCATGATGCCTAGTTATTTAGACATTTCTATTATGAATTAGGAAGAAATTAGAATAAAAGAATGGCAACTGATTTGCATATGTAAGAAAAATTATCTACAGGATTTAGTTCCTCAAATAGTCCCAAGGAACTTACTGAGTGTTCAAGCTGGAAGGGGTATTAGAATTACAAATTTCTTTATTATAGATAAAATGTTCTACCCCAGTGGAAGTTAAAAATGATTTGCCCAAGACTAGGCAATTTGTGACAGATTGGGCTTGGAGTCCAAAGCTATTTCTTTTCTACCATACCAAGTATATAAGGTTTAAATGTGGAATTGTAGAGTTGAACCACTTCTTTCAAAACAAGGTTAAAGAAAATAAGAGGGCCTATGACATGCTTAAAGGAAAAAAAAAAAGACTAAATAGGATGAGATTTGCATTTACTATAGCTTATACTTACTTAGCCATAGACTGTAGTATTATCAAGAAATACACATGTGAAATATATCTTCACAGAGATACTAGCAATGCCAGTGTGAGTAGGAACTAGAGATAATGTTGCTCAAGCCCCTCATTCTAGGCATGAGGAAATACCAAATTTACTAAGTAGTTTTGTAACTACTTAGTAAAAGCTCAGATCAGAGCTTACGTCTTTGGGCTCTTGTTGACAGCATCTTGATTTTTAGAAAGTTTCAGAAGTTTGAAAAACATAATCTCATAATCTAAAGGCTTTATGCATTTTTATTTAAGGCTAGGTCTAGTTGTTTTCATTAAGTTGACTAAATAAGCTCCTTTTAATCATAGAGGGGACTTTAGAGTACATAGAGAGTAGGTTCCGAGCTAGAGGCGGTAAAGGCAAAGAAAATGGGCTTGTAGTTAATACATGGAACTAGATCCCAGTTCCAAACACTTTACATACTCCAAGCTTCCATTTCTTTGGCTGTAACAATGGGGGAAAATAGTGCCCATGAGTAGGGGGTCAGAGGATTGGAAAATAAATGTAATACAGGTTAGAACGTAGCTACTGCTCGCTGCATGCTAGTTGCGGAACACCTGCTAATGGACTTCTTTCCTTGAAAGCTAAAGGTTCCAATTTTAATGACTAATATTGGAAAGCACGATTACAAACTTTGAAAAATATTCTCCCTAAAAACACCACTAAACAGGCATCTTCATGTGTGTGTATATATAAGCTAGACTTGTAGGTAATCACCTAGCCCATATGATGAAAAAAAGTAAAACTTTTGGTATTAGGACTTATAAATTGAGAACTTATAAATTGCACTTATGAATATTCTGTTCAATGTAGACCCCTGGAGAAAAAGTGATCTGTCACTGGAGGTTAAATTTTTTTTTTATGCTGGTATAAGGGAGACATCTGTTTTTCAGTAGCAAATGCCACCTGTTTCCAATACCTTCTCTTGTCTGCACTTCCTTCCCTTAGATGACTTGTTAGCTACAGAGAAAAATGTGGAAGGGATATGGGAGTAACATACTGCCTGCTATCCACATTGGGTAACAGAAGGGTGAGTTAAAATCATCTCTCTTTGGACACTGGTTTCATAATCCTTTGATAGGGATTTAGACTGCAAATATGTAATCAAATCATGAGAAAGAATCGAAACTTTAGCAAAATGTACTAGAAACACTTTGTTTGTTCTATCTGCGATAGCCTCGATTTCTGGATGTGTCAGCTCAACCCTGGATCCTGTTCAATAATGTTTAGTTACCGAACTATGCAAATATGCTTAGTGAAAGGTGACTTTAAGATAGCCTAGATCTTGAGAGCCATATTCTGTCAGTGCCTCTGATAATCAATATGGCATAATCAGGCTATATTTCCTACTCATTAGATTCTCAAATAATATGTTAGATTTAAACAAAACCTAAATGTAACACAAGTTACATTTTAAAGCCAATATGAAATAAGGGGTTCATGGTTTTCAAAGTATACTCTCACCATTGCTAGGTTCAGCCACATGGGACCAAAGTATTATAAATCACTACAATTGCCCATTATCTATGCATACCTAAAGGGATATGCAAGGTATTCTCTAGCCTGAACCTTGTCCGGCAGGACTGGAGGCAGAATTATTTGTTTTACATGTCTCCTCTTCGAGAACTTCAAAGAAGTTACAGTAGTTATGTCCACACATGTAATTAATTTCCTTGATAATGAAATGATTTGTGGTTTGAGTTCTATCGATAAATGGCATGGGATATAAAATCTAAAACTCTGTGGATTTGAATTCAAATATCATAGTATAGAGATAACCTGTGTACTATCATATCTCTAAAACAAACAGTACTCTGAAAATTTGTAATTAAAGAAAGAAGATAGTCCATAAATTAAAACTGCTTGTCAAAAAAGTTACCTTCTGTCAATATAATGTATAACCTCTTTTAAATCTAAGGTGTTTCTAAATTAAAGTTAAAGCTTTAGGAAGCCAAATGAGCTTCTAGTGTGAGGATAAAAGTCTCTAATTTCCTCTACTATGGTAATACGTAAGTTCCAGTATTTTCAATCTTGACTTAACAAATATCAATAAACTCTGATAAGATGGAATATTAAGAGTCTCCAATACTTTCTTGGTTCTTCCTCCCTCCCTACAACCTTCTTTGCACATCAGGAAGATGTCAAATGTTCTCACTCAAATAGGAATACTGAAAGAGACAAGCCAACTTTTTCTCACTCTCAGGTCTTTGAAATCTTCCAGTAAGCTCAGTTTCTCAGGCACAGACTCCAGATGGTCCAAGGCCACGCGCGTACTCTGAAAAAGAAAACATACGGCAGCCAAACATTATAAAAAATTGATCAGTACTCTCAGAATCCAAGTACTAAAAATCAGTTGTACCATGGTTAGAAGCAGTTCAATCTATAGATTTAGACAGTAAAATAAGAACAGATATCATAGTATTTCTGAGATAAATACATATTTTTTAAATCAGGAGAATTATTTCCTTTCATGGAGCTTATGAGATGCATTTGTAAAACTGCCTCAGATATAAAAACTCTTCCTGGATAATTACTTTCAACTGATATGCTATGAAAGTTTCTATAGAGCATTTCATATTAATATTAATTTACAAGCCTGCTTCAGTGAATATCAGAAAGAAAGCACAAAATATATTGAGAAACAGATGAATTTGAAGTTACTTCTCTATGGAATATATTAGAGATCTCCCCATGTTGCCATTATACAGAAGAAAAGAGTTCCCAACCATTATTTTACTTAAAAAAGAAAAAGAGGTTCTCATAAAATTTGGGAGAAATATCTGAAATTAAATATTTATAAGAGGGACACAAAATCCTATTGATTATAAATAAAAAACTTAGTCTTTAATTAGCTTTGATTACACCCACCAATATAAACATTAACAGGGAATGATCTAAACATTATTTTAAAGGCAATATGAACCAAGAAGTGGTAGAATAACCTTGAGACCGAGGATATATCCTAGGCATCTCCATATTCTTAGTCCTGTCACAGGCCCAGCACATCAATGTATTCGTAGTCAACAGATACTAGCTTTTAAATTTAAAACGAATTGCAATTATTCAATGAAATAAACCACAAGTCCTGTGGCTGGTGCACAGGAAGAAAGTAAAGTGTCTTGTGATAACCTGGACCTAAGTTTGCACAGTGTTGTTGAGAAGTTAGTGGCCACCCAATAGTCCATATGCTGCTCCCCTACATCTCCCATGTGTTGTTCTGAACAACACACAATGAGTGCAAGTGACAGGTCTCACTTATAAGCTTAGTCAGTTAAGACCCTATGTGTTCCCGCTTCCATCCCAGCCCCTGCTATGAGGACCTGGGAGGCCACGTGCTTCAGATGGCAGAGCTACAAGAGAGAGGAGAGCTGTCGGCCATATTGGACATCATGTGAGTGAGACATCAACCTCTGTTGTGTTTAGCCATGAGATCTCAGGGTTTATTAGTTATTACACAGAATAAATGCCTTAATTATTAAAAAATAATGCCAGAGAATTACATAAATTGTAGGTTAATCTTTTTTTGGTGGGAGGAGGCTCCAAAGTATGAGTACATGAGGATTTTTTCCTCAGAGGAAGTTCAGTTTTTCTGGAACCAGACAGGGTTAGGAACTGATGTTACCTCATTTGGTATGCCCACTTACCCTTAATCTTCCTATTTTAAATCCTCTGTCTCACTCTAGTGTTGTGGTCTCCCTTCACTTCCAATCCGAGCTTCTCCAGAACATACATGTATGTCTCTGCAGGGTTTGTTTTGGGGTGGGGACGGAGACAGAGAGTTGAGGGTCTAGCTCCTCCTTGCAGACATTTTCAATATACTCATTTCCACCCTCTCCTTCTGGAGTAAATGGTACATCCAATTCAAAAATCTCTCTCAAAGTCTGCAGGGTGAAAGATATTTGCTTTCTGTTGGTATCCCCTTGACAGGTGCCTGCATTTTTCCTTCTCTGCTTTGAATCATTTTACCATTTCTCTAACAGGATTCTCCAACATGGGAGTTATACATGTCTTCTAGTTGTCAATGCATAAATGAGTGTTTCTCTTTCTTCATATTCTTTTCTAATGTGATTTTTAAGACAGCAGAAACACTCTAACTTCACCATTTTGAAATTGGAAGTCATATGTCCTATTTCTTCAAGTTCATAAAAATCTTCCTTTTCTAGTTCCATTTAAAGGCTTTAGTATTTTCTTCCTTCTGTTTAACATTTATATGCTTGTTAGTTTTTTCTTTTTGCCGCATGTGCTCACTTAAACACCCATGCATTTTAAATGGCTTCATTTAATTTTTTCATGTGTAGGAAAGATTCATCAAAATGACAAGTTTCTTAATATAGGCTCCAACATGTAGGTTTAGGAGAGCAAGTAATTTTAGCCACCATGTGTGCTATATTCATCAATAGTAAAATTAATAGATCTCCTCAATAATTATATTGGCCCTTTAACAATAAAATACAAATCCATGCTGTGGGGATTTTAAAGCAAATTTTTTTTTGTATCAAAAAATATCTTCGTAAACAATGATTGCAAATAGACTTGCAATTTGGAAACTATTTCCCTTTTTTTAGTCCCATAAATTTTCTCATTCAGAAGTGACCCTCTGAACTAGGGAGCAGTATGTTAAACTCATTTTGTTCTTAAAATAAGCACATGATTTCTTTCCCTACTATAAAATTCAGCATGTTATGCAAATATTTTTGTTTAAAATTTTCAATCAACCAGGTGACTGCATGAAGAAATTTTTTTCTTGCATATTTTCACATACTAGTTTATTTTGACTATTTGATAGTTTTTGGATGCATATTCAAAATGGCTATATATATATTTTTTGCGTGAACCTTAAAAAACTCCTTGGCTCTTACTTTCTTAAGTACAGCTATTTTTCTACTCTCCACTCCCACCCCCTACGTCTCCATTAATATATTTAAACTTTTTCATCATCTATTTTGGTTGTGGCTTACTTTGTATTCCTTTTATGTGTTGTTTCTAAGCATCTTCCTTAATATCAGAAATAGTTTCTGGTTCACATGACTTTCCCTTCATCCTTACAGTCTTGTCAATCAGGTAACACCAAATGTATATCTAGATACCACAGAAAGATCCACAAGATAGAGATGGCACAGGAGCTTTTAACTCATGGGGGAGAGGGATGAGGGAGAAGTATGCCTATGCAGAAGATGTAAGAATTACAGAAAGAAAAAATTCATTGCATTTATTTTAAAGAAATTACGTATACAGATCCTGAGATTTTTAAGGCCTCGGCAACAGTAAGATATGAAATAATGAAAATAATGAGTCCAGCAGGCCTGCAGGCATCTCACATCTCATAATTTCATGAGTAAGTGATATTTGGGGGAACATATTTATTTTCTGACTGTCGTGGTCTCTCTGTATGCATGTGAGTGTGCTTAAAACCACCACTTCTGCATATAGACTTAAGAGTATGCATATACATGTTCTTTTTTTTTTTTTTTTTTTTAAGTAACGTGAGCTGCTCTGAGGTTCTATGATTAGAGTCTGGTCACATTACATGTCACTTCAAGTTCACTTTTCCCCAAAAGCTAACAGTGCTAGAAAAATGGAACCATTAGTAGATGAATAATCTGAATAAGGAACTTACTGGTTTTCCAGTGCCATAAGGACCCATATAGTATGTTAGTTCCTAGGGCAAAATACCTCATGCAGAGTCAGGGAAACTTTCTTTTTTTTAAGTTGGTTAATTTTTTCTGCCTCACCCAGTCTAATGCTTTAAAGGGCACAGACAAGTCCCTACTACTAGACTTAAGGGAATAATCTCTCCAGTTATTCAGTAATGGCACCAAATGACAGGTGCTTAACCTGTCTTTAATTTTCTTGGGTGAATTTTCTAGAAGAACTAAATGAGACATTCACAAAAGGTTTTAAAGATGGTTTCTCTTTTGAAAATATTATAAGATACTAAATTTCATATCAAAATTGAAAACAAAGAAAAATTCACAATTAAGAACCCACTTAATAAAGGACCAATACTTTGTGTAGTAACACTTGGTTTATCTCAGAGGCTTAAGGAGCTGGACTCCCACTGAGCTAAGAGCAGTGACAAAGCAAATGATCAACTGCTCCTAGCACCATAATGAAAGACCGAACCATAAAAATGTAACTCCATTTTGAATATACTTAATCCTCACACCATGATATGCTGTTATATGTGTTATTCCCCATGACACAGATGAAGCAACTGAGAACCAAAGTGTAACGTCAGTCTGGTGGTGGCAAATTTGGAATACGAATCCAAGCAATTAGAATGCAGAAATGGCAGTGTTCTTACTACGGTAATACTCTGATGGTAAATCCCCAGAAGCTGTAACAGTGTTTGATGTAAATTCCTAACCTTACCTATCAACTTTTGGCATCTAGAACTTTGGAGATATGTCCCTGATAGGCATATTTATGGAAGAGGAGTCTCAAGATGGATGCAGGAAGCAGTCCAACTGGCCAGTGCTGAAAAGTGTGTGCTCAAGACCATGCATCCAAGCACATGTGAGCTCAGGAGGGCTCAGGATTTTCCATCTTTTGCTTTGAGGAAGTTAGGTATGAGATTCAGTTTTATGATGCTCACTAACACACCCTTTTCTTTTTCATAACATTTTGCAATAATGTAGCACACTATCCGGCCACAAGAGGTGCTTCCGTCATTGCTGGCTATAAAGACAAAGGCAGAGTTACCACTCTCTGATCCATCCACCAAATCTTGGCTTCTTTATTAAAAACTGAGAAGTGAAAAGTCTGTGGTTTCATTTATTTTCTCTAGATGAAGGCAAGATCAAATGGTAGAAACAAAAGTGAAATTCAGAAATCGTGTCCATTTGGCTCTGTGGCTTTTGCACCTACAGGCGGGTTTTGCTATCCATCTGTCTGAGAGAGCAAAGAATAAGCTGGCAATTTTCCTATTCCAAAATCTTCAACACACACCAAACTGCCATGTAGTCGAGCACTTTGTACTGGTCGGCGGTATATTTTTCCTTAGTTGTTCCTTTGTTTCAGACTCCAGGGAAATTGAATAATGAACGTAGTATGACAACATAAATAGCAGTGATTCGGAACTAGAAAGGGGCTTCATTGCAGTTGTTAGTTTCCTGTCTCCTGCAGAGAGAGCTTAAGAAACAGATTTAACCGAGGGTATACTTTGGTAAATATCCTTCTCTCTGTAAAAATGCACATGTGTTTATTTTCCTCGGAATGTATAACAACTAGCATTTTCTGAGAGTGCTGTTGCAATCATACCTTTTGAGGGTTAGATGATAAATGAAAAAAGGAGATGCTATATTTTTATTTTAAAAATAAGCATGTGCATTTTTGGCACTATACAGATGTTAAATAAACAAGGTTATGAAGCAGTTTATTTGGGTTCAAAAATGCAATTCTATTTCATTTGGAAAGAGATCCACTGCAAAACTTTCTTGACAAATGGCTAAAAGGTGGTAAGAGGACCTGAGTAAACAAATTTCAAGGGGAGGAAGGGTGAAATCATAAAAAGGATAGACTGTCTGCATTTTTACTTGTGGCGACTTGATCCAGCACAGCTCTATCGACTTCATAGGGCCCTCTTTTCATCCAAATTGTATCAGGAGCTCATTGAAACCAAACCGAACAGTAGCAGAGAATAGGCTGGCAAGTCATTCTGTGGCTGTACATCCTTCAAAGGGCCTCAGTGCTCAGAGTTGTGTGGATTTCTCAGAATACCAGAAGAGTCCTCTATTTCTAGATTGTGTACTTTCAGAGAGTTCTAAAAATCAGACACCCACTTAGATACAAGTGTTTATGTGTATCTTGGAGTAAGAGGGTAAATAAGGGTGTTACCTAAAAATACCAGTTCACGTGGCAATATGACATCAGTGACAGTATTTGAGCTAAAATCCAGAAGAATTTTTGTCAGCAACAAATTCTATGTCTTCATATAACAGCATTCTAGTCACAAGAAGAAGAGCTCCTTTAAAAAGCACACTTCTATAAAATTTGAGAACCGGTGGCATATCTTCGTTGAAAAACTTGAATAAAGAAGTTTTTCTAGATCTTTTCCAACTCTCATTCACAATAATATTTTTAAGTGAAGAACTATATGAAGCCTATAGAATTTGCCATTCCAGATTACTGCTTTCTAATTTTTTGGCATGACCAAATTATAAGTCATAATCAACCCATGATCTTATTTATTTAGATTAATAGGGGGAGGTTTTTTTTTTTTCCAATAATACCATAAATGAGTTGAAGGGAAGACAGAATGAATAAACAAATGTATCTCTTTCCCTTGAGGTCCCTGAGATTTCCTTCCTGTCCTTCCCTTGCCACTTCCTGATGTGAGGGAAAATCACATATGAAGACAAATGAAGACTAGGTTGGTGTTCTCTGTATGCCCTTACCACACTGGTCTACAGGCAGGAGGGTCTTGAGACCCACAATTTAATTTCTGTGACACCATTTTATTTCTTAAAATTGAAAATAAAATGTATTCCCAAGGCAAAGAATTTTAAGAACATCTGCCTCCAAGATACGACTGCATGTTAATCAGGGGCAAGCAGCATATGCAAAGACTTCCTGGAAGTGATGGAGTTTAGCCATTTCCACTAAAGTGGCAGGGAAAGAGACCATGCTTCTGATTCATTGGCCCCAGACACATATTTCACACTGGCAGATGAAGAACAGGTGAGGGGGAAGGCAGGCTGAACAGGAAATCAGCATTCCTGATTTGTGGATATGCATAGTTCTAGTAATATTACTTGTGTTTGTGGTTTCTGGAATATCATTCTTCCCTGCCCTTCTAAGCTTCAGTCTTTAATTTGCAAAATGGGGATAAATACTGATGATCTTTATTATCTCCTACCCACAGGGTAGCTGTTATTATTAAGTAAGAGCGTGAAGAGTGAATGTGAAAGCCTCAAATACTTTCCAAACAGCAGGTATTTTAAAAAGGCTGATTCTGTGAGGTACTGTCAACCCTGGTAATTCTCAAATGCAGAAGAGGTCAGTGACACTCTAAAATTTGTGACACTAATAAAAATCTGTCACAGAATTCGATGCAGAAACAAGACAAACTTAATTAAAACTATATCCAATATTTAGAAATACATTTGCTGTTCTGTAGACATTATCCAAAACACAAAAGTAATAGGAGTGTAATGGCACATAAATACTTTTATACATACTGTGCCCTCAGTGGAGAATGTTCCCTCCTGTTTCCTGATCTGGTTAAAACTCTTCCCCCCAATACTACGAACACTTTCAAGCATACTGGAAATCTGAAAGAAATTTACAAAGATCACCCATACACTTTTCATCTAGATTCTATTATTAACATTTCATTATATTTGCTTTAACACATATTAACCCATCTATCTATCCCTATGCATATCCACTAACCCAACTTATTTTTTGGATGCCTTACAAAGTAAATTATATACATCAGTACACTTTCCCCTATAGACTTTATCATGCATACCATTAGCTCCACTTGGATTTTTAATTTTTAAGTACAAAATTTATGTTCAATGAATCTTAAGTAAATCTTAAGTAAAATGGTTAAGTTTTATTATCCTTTATCACTTGCTTAGGGAATGCTCTCTCCCGCCTTTACTGAACCCATCAAACAAGCTCTCCACTGCACCCTGAGCCTTCCCTCTGCAACACTTACCAGAAATAAATCACATTTATTTGTGTGATTACCTGATTAATGGTCATGTTGACTCTGGGAAATAAGCATCAGAAGGGCAGGACATATTTGTCTTTACTCGCCACCATGCCCCTAGCACTCCACCCAGTACTTCCATAAAGGTGGTACTCAATAACTATTTCCTGAATGAATGAATGAATGAATGGGTCTCACTCAATGATGGAAAGGTTCTCATTCATTTATTCAATCTGCAAACATTTAGTGAATGCCTCCTCTATATTGGACACTCTTCTAGAGTGAGCTGAGGGAGCTCCCAACAAGATGAGGCCAAAGATGCCTCTGGGACAAGATCTTAAGAAGGGCTTTTTGGCCACAGTAAAGTTTTTTTATATTTAATTCCAAGTGAGATCGAAGGTCTTCTGAGGACCTTGAGCAGAGGAGGGATATGCTCTTATTTACAGCCTCAAGTAAATCCTTTGATGTTGTTTTCGGTTCACTAGTCCTTCACCCCCACACAGGAGCACTCCTGGTCTGGGGGGACTGTGAGAAGTTGAGACAGGCATCTCATTCCCAGGTTAGAGTCCTGCAGAGCAGCAAAAACTCTGAGACGCACCTCACGGGAACCTTCCATTTGGCCTCCATGAGAAATTTACTGACAAAATGTACCGTATCCCTAGAAAGTGACTGGTGTGTCATATCAAAAGCCCTTGATTTATCCAAAAACATACTTCGTGACTGTAAGCACTTGGAACTGTCCTAAATGTCCATAAAATAGATTCTCTAATAGTGTTGGATTATTTAGATTAATCGGATAACATTCTTATTGTGGTAGCCTTCTGTCTGAGGTGAGGCAGCAAGATACAGTGAAAAAAAAATCACTGATTAGAAATCAGAAGGTACAAGTTCTATCTCAGCTTTGCCATAACCAGTTGCATGAACTGGAAAAATCTCTTAACCCATGGGCTTCAGTTTCCCTATCAGGAAAAGGGGAAAATTGGATCTAAAAGTCTCTAGGAGACCTTCTGGCTATAGCTGCAGTCACTGTGGCTTTAACTTCTTTTCCACAGTAGGTTGGGGGTCTGATTTTTAAGCTTAAAAGGTTGGAAATAATGTAAAAAATAGTTTCAAAAAGAGAAAGTAAAATAAGGAGAAAATCACGTATGGGATTTTAGGAGTTATACATACCCAAGAACACCTGTGGGGTGGAAAAACCTTCACTCCTTTATAGCAGAAAGCAAAACTAATGATTACATAAGAAAAAGAGGAAGAAAGACATATTGATCTTCTTGGGTGTTTGCTCCACAAAAAACTCCAGATATTTACCATTTTGTGTTTTTAGAACAGATACTTCCAAAAGCAGGCAAAGAATTGCTTTTCATTTTTTTTTCCACTTTTTAACTGACCCGTGCACGTGTGTGTGTGTATACACACACATATTCATCTAAATACTGCTAATCAGCTTCCAGTTCTATTATCATGAATGTTACTCCATACTTTTGCTTTTGTCTGAAAACCTTCTGTGCAATCATGACTTTGCACATGAAGTCCATCCGTCTGAATGTTCTCCACACACTGCTTAAACTAGTTCACGGATTCTCCTTCTACAAGACTTGGCTTGGTCGCTACCTTCTCTAAGATGGCAGTTAAAAGCATGGGCTCTTGAGCTGGTCCGCCTGACCTGAAATCCTGCTTTAGTCACCTGCTAGCTTTATGTGTCTAGGGAAGTTCTCAGATCCCTCAGCCCTGGGACTCAGTATCCTCATTTATAAAAGGAATGATAGTAATACTCATAGTGTAGAAGTATTGTAAGGACCAAATATCTTGGCGGATATAAAGTACTTAGAGCAGGGAGGCACACTAGTAAGCACTCAGTAAGCACTAGCTATTGTTACAATGGAGATCCTAGTCTATTCTGTGAAAGGCTCCCCTAAAGTCTGGGTTAGGTGTCCATTCTCAGTGGTTCCTGTACACACATGTCTCATGTCCTGTGTCTAATACTTCCTAACTGTGTGCTTGTCTCTTTAAGT